ACATTTATTAATCAATGGAATTAAAAACAATAAAACATGTTCACAAATAATGAACATAAATACTTATTTATTCTTATATTTAAATTCATTTCATTCGCAATAATGTATAATTATATTTATTTATTACATCATAGTTACTTCAGTATTTATTATATTTAATTCTAGCAATGAATGCCACACTAACCAAATCACTTACTAATAATACTATCCCTTTATTCTAACGTGTATCCTAACCCTAACCTCTAGCCTGTGTACCCATTAAACTCTAAGCTAGACATTATTATGTTACCCACCACTATTGTCGTAGAAGTATGTCAACAAAGAAGTCCACTGCTTTAGTCTTATGCCATCAGTCATTATTCAAGAAATATGAGATCTAACATTAATTATAAGAATACAACCAAACGCCAAGAAGTGACATCGGAACTGGCAATGCGCTCACAAACAGTAATACCGAAGATGGCAACACTAACGAAAGTGGCAAAAGCAAAAAAAATTATATAACACCAATTGAAAACTCCATCGACAATGCCATCAAATAACGATACCGATGAAAGAGAAGCACCAACAGACACCAAGACATCAGAAGAAGCAACATATGAAAAAAAAAGGACGAACTAGATTAGTAAAAAGAAAAGAAAAACGGCATAAAAAAACTGATTCATACTAGTTCATCCCATATCGCCAGTTCTGCTTAAAAATAAAAGTATATCTAAAAGTAAAATAAAGGTAAGCATTTGTTGGTTGGTTATCCAGGTCACACCATGTGGAGGTCAATACTCAAGTGACCTGTGTATCACACTTTGGTGGATTTGGAATTAAGAAATGACAAGAGTGGAAGAGAGTGGAAGTATATGCTAAAAAAAGAAATAACAAGGGCAAGACATTACGAAATTAATGATAGAGGAATGACGATAAAAAAATGAATAGCGATAGTTGAAGCAGTAAAAGAAAAGAACAAAAGAATGATGATAGTTGAAGCAGAATTAATGAAGGATAAAATAGTTGTTATACTTAGAAGGTTTGATTGGAGTTCGGGTTTTAATATTAAGGGTGAGATTAAGTAAAGTTTGAGGGAGTCGGGTTTTAGTTGTAAGAATAATCGGATGAATTTCAGATAAATTTGCTTCTTCTATCGCACCAGGAGAAAATTCATTTCCAACAACAATTCCCACTACACGCCTTTCTAAGCAAGTTACTCCTCTTAGGGCTCTTACAACTTCTGGCCCTATAATTAATCAATCAATTAATAGCAAAAATTTATAAATAAACAAACACAATCTCTACCTATTTTATTGGTCCAATTTTTACATTAAAACGAAACTTTTCTACCTTTAATTCTGGCACTAATATCGACTTCACCATCTCTCCTACGACTATTATTGAAAATAAAGTAAGTATTTATGTCATAGTTATTAACAACTAAATATTGCACGGCCAGAATAGTCGACGGTGACGTGCTCATTAGCTAGCATATATCCTATTCATCCATTAATTTCCTGTGTACTACACAACTACAGGAACATCAAGTAACTGAGAAAAAGAACGTTCTATGTCGAAACATAGACCACAAAGAGCTTTTAATTTTTTCTTGGATATTTTACACTAGTGGGACAGCGTAACTTCAGATACATGATAACTCAACAAATACTTAGTGAGAAAACCTACCCTATGTGAATAACTTCGAATCCTGTATCTCTAAGGATTGAGAGGATATCCCATTCAACCCACATGGTGGGAGAGTACCATATATGGATAGAGACGGCGACAGATTCTGATATTTTTTTTAAAAAAAAAGCTTTTGTATAAATGTTTTTAATTTTTAAATTTTGGTTAAAGATGAGATTCATAAAGTAAAGATAACACGTATCTTTTATTTCACTTTTTTGCTTAGAAACTTCATTTTTTAAAGAAAACATACAAAAAAAAAAAATTTTTTTAACTGATATATATAATTCTGGTTATACACTTAATTTCTGTATTTAGAAATTGAATATACCAAATTAGGCTAATAAGCTCATGATATGTACAGCTCTGGAATAACCATACTGTACGTATCCACCATCAATGCTAGAAGGTATGATATGATAAGATTAAGGTTTGGAAAAATATGAAGTTCTGCAATAACCAAGTAAATTATGCATAGAGAATTTCTATTTAAAAAAAGGTCAGATAATATTCATATAAATTTTATTGCCCATTTTCTTTTTATAAAATAAAGATTCAGATCTAGTCATTTGCTGTATTGTGGTGACATACCGATACAGCCAAATTATTATTATACATAGTCTGCAACTTATTTGTCCCAATACGTACAAAACTAACATAATCATATCTAAACCACTTGTATTACCATAGTAATAGCTCAGTACGTATATGTAACCAAAAATCACTTGTACCACCACAATAGTTTAAATCACGTAGAATTTTTTACAGCAAATATATACTGTATGTATCAATTATGAAGATAGCCTTTATATACGTAGTTACTTTATATGTAGTTATTTTCGTCACTATTAACATCACATTAACTTTTTAATAACCACGATATTCCGACTGGAAATTTTAGCCCATATGGGGTAAATATGAAAACCACATAATTTTCATATATATTCGTGCGTGCGAAAGCATTTCATAAAAAAGGATTCACTGAAGACTATGTAATTTATGTAATTATGAATTTTATTTGCCAGATGAAGATTAATATTAAAATGGTCATAAAACTCAGTGATATTTTTTAAAAAATTTATTTATTTTTAAATAGTAAATCGCAATATAATTACAAATATTCATTAAAAAAAAACAAAAACTCTATTAAGAAGAAAAAAAAATCAATTATTGAAGAGAAATCTTCAAATGCCTTTCGTTCTTTCATACTGCACTTGCTCATCTTCATAGTATTCTCTTGTGATGTGCCTATGCTTTTTCAACCTGTGATGGTTGGCCCTGAACAAATATTTCCTGTGCCCGTGCCTTTTCAACCTGTGATGGTTAATTCTGAACCAATGCTCGTACCTGTGCTTTTCTTACTGCCATTGTTTGGTGAAGCCATGCATTCTTTGATCAATCCTGATCGTGATTGCGTGATTGATTATTGGCTTTTTGAATAGTTTTAAAGTTTTGATTCAAATTATTTGAAATCAAATTTTTTTTTTTAAATAGAAAAAAAAAAAACTTGCCAGAAATTAATGGTTCAGAGGTAGAGTTTAAAGAATTTTAAATCTGATTTGACGTATTTGAATCCTCCACCATCACAGTATCTAAAATATATGTAAAATAAAACCATTAATATATACTAACCTAATTTTTCATTTTCATCCAACTCATAATCAACATATGAATTGCCCAAAAATGAATAGTATGATTCGAGATTTTCATTGTGCACCGTGTAAAGAACCAACAACACTGAAGACAAACGTTGATCATCGGTTGGACTATTGTATGCCAAAAACGATAACCCAAGAAAACCATAGTTTCATTTTCGGGAACGTCAAAAGCTTTCAAGATCATTATTGTCGTTCGTCAAGCACTATGATTCGTTATTTTTCTACCATCGAGCTACGATCTGTTGCAGTATTGACTTGAGCTTGTTTTTATCCATTAAGGTACTATTCTTTATTTCATTAAAGAAAAAAAAGAAGATTGCAATTAGCTTAATTTCTTAAAAAATTCGTAATTGCTCATTGTTTTCTAATATATTGTAGAAATAAAGTATCCAATTTATAACCAAATGTGATGCTTTGACAAATATAAAAGAAGATTCTTGATAGGTGTGAATCGATTATCAACATGATCGAGTGGAATGGTATATACTCTTGACATTTATGACTTTATCGAAACCTATATAAGGCGTTTTTTTTCTTTTTGAAATTTCAACTGTAAGCCTGTCATTTGCCTTTCATCACTTCTAGCCCTGTAACATTGAGATCCTTGAGAAGATAAAATAACCATACCGATCTTTCCTTATAGAGTGAACTTGAACTAAACTATAAATTAAAAGATTATCGAGTGGAATAGTATATACTCTTGATGTTTACGACTTTATCAAAAACCATATAAGGTGCAAAATTCATAAAGTTGATGTTTTGTTAGACGCGTCAACATGCCAAGGATATACAATGGCAAATACATGTGGCAACAATTGGAACACATATTTGAATGACCATAACGTCAAAGAAGCTACTCTCTTGATTGTTTTTTTCTTTTCGAAATCTCAACTGCAAGCCCCGTTATTTGCTTTTCAGGATCATTATAATTTAATCCATAAGTATTGTCATCACTTCCAGCCCTGTAACATTTTTTTTCTTGGAATCCTTAAGAAGATAAAATAACTATACTGATCTTTTCTTATAGAGTGGACTTAAACTAAACTATAAATTAAAAGATTAATAAATAATTTCATGTATTAACCTACAAAGCAAAAAGAAAACTCTCCTAATTAAGCCTTTATTTTTTCAATTTGACAAATAATCATGATTCAAACATGCTATGATTTCATCTGATATTAATGAGTCACT